ATGTTGTTCAGTGCTTGACCACAGCAGCTTGCTCCGAGTGGTTAGTGGTTAGAGACACACTCCAGCGCTAAGTTTTTGCCTTCTAAAACTAAGGGATGATTTTTTTTTTCCCCTCCACTACTATGTATTGTCAGACATCTTTGACTTGTCAGCCCAGACCACACAACTGTGTTTAAAAAACAAAACAAAACACAACAACAGAAAAACACAACCCAGAAAAACCATGATGGGCTTGATTCTCCAGTCTGACTTAATTTTTCTCCACTAGTGGAAACTCTTCCTATAAAGGGAAAATTTGTTAATAGCTGTCCCTTTTCATTACCTGATAAAAGCTGGAAAACTTGTTTTCATGTATCAGACAACATAAATGAAAATCTGCCTCTCCTAATTTAAGCCGTCTCATTTAAATGATATTGCTCACTAGGGCCAGAGTTTCCAGGTTAGTATCTGATTTTAAAATGATCACAGCTGGCAAAGTTGTCATAGCTTGACCTTAGTAAGGAGTCTTGTACACCAGAAAATTTGGGGAGGTGCTGGGGGGAGGTTCTCAGCAGAACAGTTTAGTGGTAAAAAGATCTTGAATTAGTGTGCAGCACAGGTGACTAGATAAACTGGTGTCCTTGGCAGTGAGGGACCATAGAGGCTTCCTGCCCACTGATACGTATAAAGATCAAGAAAGGTTAATTGCAGCAGAGTTAGAGATGTGACTGGAATGTGTGCTAATTCTGCCCTCCCCAAATGCTTGGCATATTTTAACTGCCTGTCAGTGTGCATCCAACGATACCATTGTTTGGATTCCAGGCATGCTTTTAAACACCTTTCAGGCTTTTTTAAAAAGCTGGGAGCAAATAATCAGCATTATTCTGATATCCCAGCCTAGGATAAATATTGTTTTAACTTACAAAAGCTGCCAATGCACAAGCATACAGATAGTCACTCAGGCACACCCAGACACCCTCCCACTGTGCTATCTTCCACACAAAACAAATTCTCCACCTTCTGTAGAACAAGCCTAGCTAAGAAGCTAGCTAAACTTCTGTAACATGTATGTTACTCTGATGAAGAGAAGCTCTTGGAAAGATCAAGTAACTCTCAAGATACCAAGAGTCACACCCTGATGCTCCTTTCTAGACTCTTTCTACCAGTACATCTTTAGGATCTAAGCTTTATCTCTTTTTTGTGACAGATCTGGGTTCCAGTCCTGGTAGGATCACCACAGCCCTGCCCCTCTCCTGATGCAGATATAGCAACTGCCTGTGCTATTTTCAAGGTGTTAATCTTATACTTCAGGCTAATAAGCGTCATGGACAACCCACGCTGCACATTAACCTTAGGCAGGCTAGGATAAGCACTCTGCTTTGTTGACTGTGAACATAACTCTCCCGTTGTTTCTGAGAACAGTTGCTGGCTGCTCTCCACTTAGGAAGTGGCTGCAAACCTCCGTGGGTCCCTCCCATGGAAATCAGTGGGAATTTTCCATCCATTCCAATGGGAAATCTCATGGGTCACAACGTGAAAAGATCCCTGCCAATGCTTGACCCATAAAACCACTGACACCTAACAAGCACTATGACAGCAGATGCTTCATATGATATAGAACACAGGTCTAAGTGAAGTCATAAACAAAAAGAAAGCTATCTGCTTCCTTCAGATCGTGAACATTCAGTTGAGACCCTTTGCTGACAGGCTGTGGATTTAAAGATCAAAAACATTTTTCAGACTACAGTTACTTCAGGCAACAGATGAACCATATCTTCAGGGACATTTTACCTGTTGTTGCTGCTTTTTACTTCCTTGGTCTTTCCCTGTAGTCCAGTAATAACACCCATCACCTTGCAAAATAAGAAAAATAGTTTAATTACAGTCCAAGGCATACATGTAAAACATATGATGAACTGTGGCACAGTCAGCAAAGAAGGAATAGCAGAAAATAGCACTGGTCAACTACAGTCATCAAATAGATAAAAATATCAAATTTCTTTCTCCTGCATAGGTCCCTTCCTCTGCTTTTGTTCAGAGATAGGTGTACATTCCTGTTTGTCCTGTAGTTACTTACTCATTTCAGAATAAATTTATTTTCCTCTGCAGCCATTTCTAGCACGATCTTTGAAATCAGTGATAGGTTGGCGATACCAACAGGCCTATGCTCAAGGTCTGTAACTTCAGAGCCGTAACATGCCCATCCATGTGCTCATATGAAAACAGACCATCCTCTGAAAAAGAGGGGGAAGTAGAACACGGGCATATGGGTCATGTGGTATATGATTCTTCTTGTGCTTCTTTTTCTCTTGTTGCGAGCTGCACCCCAAAAGGTACAGCAACGTCACAACAAATTTGCCTCCAGGGATGCGTTTCCTCCAAGCTGTGCACCTTGGCACTGGAGGTGCTGTGAGAGCAAGTGGATAGCTGAAGCATTATTTATCAAACAATAAACACAGCAATCCAAATGCAAATATATTGCTAACAAGCCTGATCAATACACTGAGACCATGAACTAAAATAAAAGCTAGAAACAATCTTCTTCCACATTTGAGTACATGAAAGGCAGAAACATTACCTCCCTAGCTCAGACAAAATTAAATGGAAGACAGAAAGGCATTGAGGCATGTTTCAGAGTTCTTTGTAGAACTATTTGCTCTAGTATCAAATGCAAACCTCATGAGCTTATAACACTGCCTTCAAAACTAGCAGGCAGTAAACACTAAAAGCTTACTGGTAAGCTTTTAGATGTATATGTAACAGTTTCTAAACAAAAGATATAAGACCTGAAACAGCCTTGGAACTTAAATGAAATTCAGTCAAACCCCAGAAAGGGATTCTTTTAAGCCATCAGCAAAGACTGACGAGCTGGGTTGAGTTCCTGCCGCGGTCACAGACAATTTCCACGACAGCAGTCAAACCATAGAGTACATTGTGCTTCAGTTTCCCATCAATAGTATGAAGGCAACAACATATCCCTTATTTTGGTCATTCAGAACAGTCCTCGTGATCTGTAAGCAGCTATGCAAGAGCAGAACAGAAGACTCTTCACATGAGTAATGCTCTGTATCTCTGGGTCAAGGGAAGAGTTTAGCCCTGCATTTTTAATAACCATGCATAACCTTTCTGTTTTATTCAGATCTCACTCACATGTCTCAGAACACTTTCCATTTATAAATGAATTTAGTACACAGAGGGTTTCATTAAAGTAACTAATTCTGATTACACTAGTAGCAACACCACGAGAGTCACAAAGGACCATTATTACACTGCACAGACAGTAAAGGTTCAGATTCATCTATACTGCAATTAGACAGAAATCCAGATTGCATTGACTACTTATTTTAAGTAACTTTGAATTAAAAAAGAAACTTAGAATAGTAAGACTCTGCTTTGTTTGTACATCTAGTCTGTTTCTGGAAGTTCTACCAGTTTGTTCCTTTGTGATCTACTTCAAACTTTCACTGGATAGTCAATGTCAGGTCAGCATCCCTAAAGAAATAATCCTAAGATACATAAAGCTTGAAATAATCAAGGCAGTTATTTGCTATATTTTGGAGACCTTGGCTGACTTGGGGCAGGGGCTTGTCATGACTTTCTTGCCCTCCAACAGAAGAATACACAAGGAAAGGGTTGAAACATGACAGCTGTCACTTGGAAACTAGATTAGGGCTTCCAACCGAGTTTTGAAGGTCTTGAGACAACAGCTTCTCTGGATACTGCAAGCACAAAAGCTTTAAAAGTCACAACCCACATGAGTACTCTTGCCAAGCAGTGCTCTCAGAGCACTTTCAGGTGTTTCACATCCCCCATGCATCAGCCAAGAACATCACAACTACAACTCCTAGTTTCACTTCCCATCAGTGAACTCCAAAATACAACTAAAGAGGCTAGCCTGTATCTTGCAGACACACACAAGTATTCCTGGATTTAATTACCGACATTTGAATCTCCAGAAACATTCTTTGCATCACCAAGAATCTGTAACCTGTTGTGAATACAATTAATCTAAAAGAAGTTTCACCATATGATAAAATGCTCTTCACTAAATAATGGGTGGTTTCACCAGGAGTCCGATTTGCAAATAACAAATTGCAGACCTGGGGCCAGTTTCCTGGACTCCAAAGGAATGCCTTGCCCTCTGGCAGCCACTCAAGGCTCCAATAAACAGTAAACATTTAGTCTTCAGCCCCAAAATATACACTCCTTCCAAGCACTGATGGAAAGGATATTAATTCAATCGTTCACCACGATCTACCAAAAGAGCAAGCAGGCAGCACCAATGCTGCCTCATGTCGTATTTTAATTGGCTCCTGACACAAACTGGTCTCCAACATATGTGGGGCACTCAGCAAGGGGTCACAGCTCTTTTTACACCGGTATTGTGTGAAAGGGTAGTTTTATTCTGGGTTACGGTCCCAGTCCTGAAGAGTCTATCTCCTCTGTTCAGGTTTCAAAAACAGCCAGAACAAAAAGCTTTCTGACCCATTGCACCCATCCAATTTGCTACAAATTATCACTGGCCCTGCAAAACTCAAGTGTCTTTTGCAAACGTTTGCGCTCTCCCTTTATCCACGCATTCATCTTTGCTCCCTCTCTCCCTCCAACAACTGTACATAAGATGAATCAGCACCTGAAGAGGCTGGGTGCTGATGCCAAATGGAAGTTCTCCAGTGGAAAAAAAGAAAACCTGTTCTCTTATTGTTTCTTCATTGGCATGAAACATATACCAATGCCTAGGTCACGCTGCAGCCTGACCACAGGAACACACCAAAGGGAAACATAAGTGTTCTGCAGAAAAGCTATAAAGGCCCACTTTATTTGCATTCTGCTCTTGGATGAACAAAAAAAGACAAAGCATTTTAACTGCTGCATTATGTTTATTTGTATATCAGATGTGTTGCACTCAAAGCTTAGGATAAGCAAGTTGAGTCTAACACCGAGCTTTGTTCCAGTTGGAGAACATCGCTACCATCACAAAAGCATGCAAAGAAACAAGCTGTTTCCATGCAGCAAAACTGTCAAGATCCAGACTAATTGACATTTTCACAGATTTTAATGCCCAAAATGCTTGGAATTCCTCCATTGGCACAGGCATTAGGATCCGGTCGTGCTAAAAGAAACAAGAACATTAAGATATTATCAGTGACAAGATGCCAGTATCCAGCAAGGAAAAGTCTGCTAAATACACGAATTCCGATCCGCAGTTGCGGCCCTGTTTGAGGCTCCTGTTGGTCCCAGTGGATACTGTGTAAAACTGTACGGTGTAACTCGAAGGGAGGAAATGCCTATAAAGCTTTAAATCAGCTTTGTGCTCCTTCTTGCCCATAACCCACACACAGCAGGTAGCATGCTGGCATACAGCAGATGCCTTGTGGGACCATTGTATCATCGGGGCATAAGCTTGGTACAGCTGCTACGCAGTGGCTTCCTTTGACACCAGGCAAACCACTTTGGAACAGCTGTCGCAGACACTTCAATGCCTAAAGATGAAAAATGGTGCTTTACCAGCTTTTCCAACGCACCCCAGAACCATACCCTTTCAGTCCTTCTAGGTAGTTTACTCCCCCTGTCTAAAATAGGGCGGTATGTTCTTGCCTCAAAAGGTACCACATAGACTTAGCTTTCAAGGATAGAAAAGTGCTTATTCACTCTAACAGAAGCATAATGTTCTGATCTTTAACTTACATTCAATCTTTGTAAGCTCGTAGAGAGGCAGACCTGAGCAGAGGTGTTCAATTTGGCGACCATAGCGAAGCCAGTCTGTGATTTTCCCCAACACGGAATGGCCAGACTGAAACTGCACCCACACATTTTGTGGGGAGTATACTGTCCTCATAGCCTAAGAAGACAATATGAGACATCATCAGTAACGTAGCTTTAGTTTCATTCTACTAGGACGCCCTTTGAGAAAATCCCCAAATTTCAAGTCACCTTCCTTTGCTTCACACAAAGCATTAGCTACACGCTTTTAAAGAAAATAAATATTTTCAACCTATGCAGAAACAAAGTTCACTAGATCCTAATTCTGTCAGCTCAGCAAAATTGACTTGTACCATTATCATCGTAAGTTATGTTAATTGGCAGCAAGTTTTACTGTAAACGTGCATGCGCTACTGTTAGGCTGTCATAAATCGGGCCAGAACTTAAGTTCCTCTCCAGGCAATATTTCAAGTTACCTTCAAGAAATCTTTGCCTGAATAGGAAATTCAGAGTCTGGTCAAAGTAAATTGACTTCTAAATTCTGTTGTGCAAGCAAAATTATTTCAAGCCTAAAATATCAGCATGACAATGAAAAAAGGAAAAGCCTGTCTGAACTCATATTGCCATCACCCCCAAACAGTCAAATTATACTACTTCCAAGGACATAGAATAAGTTCTAGTCACAAAAACAATCCACTATAAAACCACAGGAGGGGGTAACAATTGCTTATTATCTTAAAAGAATGTTCTATATGACATTCCCTTGAAGTTCTACCTTGTCAGATCTGCTTCATCATTGCTAACACAGTAAAAGACACTCCTAAGAACAGCTGTTCTTAAAGGCAGGATGGAAGGCTCCCACCACACCACGCAACTTTTATTTTCATGATAAAGCAGGCATGTCGTGACAGTAACCTTGTTGCAATATACCCCTGTGATAAAAAAATTACAGATAATTTGATTAATTAAAAATGGCTGCCACTGATATTAGCTGATTCTCCCTACTCTTTAGGACAATCTAGAAGGAACACAAAGTGGCTACACAGCCTCCTGTTGCGGAATGACTCTGCATTCACATCATCACCTCTGGGTGCCCATACTAAAGTCTGTCCATCAGACTGGAAGTATCTTTTCCGACAGACTTCTGCTGCAGTTGCTATACATGAGCAACTGCAGCCCATTCTCAGCTCTGACCTCATTGAGATCAATGACATTCTTCTCACTTTCATGAGCTGCCACCACAGGTTTCATTACAAGTTTTTTTTAAACTGCACTATCATATGGGTGAAACAAACAGATGGCCTAAGAGGAGAAAAGGTCACAGGAGTCTTCAAAGAAACAGTGTTTCAGGACAACTTCTGGTGAGAATACAGATATTAAGTCTAGGCAGATTCTAGATTTACTTACACGTGAGTAGTCAAAAATGCTATCAGAGGAGTACACGCCAGCATTGACATGGACTTCAACAATGTGCTTCTCACTGTCGATAGTCATAGTTCCAGTAACATAGTCATTGCCAGGTTCATGCAGGACAAAGGTCTTTGGTAAAAAAGACAGTCACCATTCAACTTTAAAAGGTGCAATACAAACAAATGCTTTCTCTCAAATAAACAAGTATGATTGCTTTAAGTAAATATTAAATCCCTTAACAATCCTCTAGCAGTCTCAAGAGGCCCTTGAGGCAGAGAATAATTATGCAAGAGTGCATCAGGGTGAGAAAGCAGGGGACAGGCCCTCACTGTAGGCTAAGGAAAAACAACATGGGGCATCTCAAGTGTGGCAGCAGGGACCGGCAGCAAACTGCAACAGTCTCAAAACTTTAGCTTAAGCTAAAGCAGACCTACGCCCCCCCAAATTTCTTGTTACTACGCACTTGCACAGAACTGCCTCTTTGGCTTATATTATTATTACCTTTTGCAAATGCTGTTTTTCCACTACACTTGGCAATAAGTGTCTTGTTAGTTTCTTCTGTGCTTCTTCTCCTGTTATTGTCCCTGCCCAAGGATCCAATACATTTTAAATGAGTACGTGCACTAAAAGGCTTATCAGTCTACTTACGTCCAGTGCAGAACTCTGAGTCCAAAAGACTCCCAGCAAAACGAGAACTGCAGCCTGTAAAAGGAATAAGCATTCTCACTGAGACACCAGGCAGTACCATAAAAAAAACCAAACAACAGTTCATGAACTGAGGGAAGCAGCTGTAGCATCAGTTTGAAAAATCACCCACTTAACACAGGTATTAGCTGAAAACCATTAAAATTCTTCATGGTAAAATTCTTGCTACTGGGCTCTCTTTTGCCTGTAACTGAAAAGCAGAACGATAACTTAACAATCACACTTTCTGTGTTTCGTAAAAGTCCCTCCTTGATGTCACGTCACTTCCTGATTTGCCTCTGTAACTGTAATTATTAAATCATAACTAAGTCCCCCTTCTGAATTGTAATCAAGTCCTGAACTCTTTGCTCAAACGATGCTTCCACTGACTCCAAGAGGATTACTTACACCCAAGAAATGCAAATTTCCCACTGAACCTAAAGAAACAATACACAGATCATATTAGTCCCAGTACTGTACCACTCACTTGAGCACCTTTGCTATCCTTTTGTTTTTAAAAATAAGGAACTTCCTATATTATAAAGTTCAAAAAAATGGATATACTCACAAATCCGTTCATTTTTCTTTCAGATAGGAACAAGAGGCTGCAGAAAGGAAGAATGCAAGAAAACCCCAGAGACCTTCAACATTTATATCCTGCTGGAGGTGTGGGAAACACGACAGATCTTTTCTTTGTGACTCGAACAAGTCTGTATCTACGTGCCACACTGTGGTAAGCCTCATATCTGATTTTTGGGTTGATATAGATAACCTGACCCCGATATGTTAAAAGCACGCTAGGCCAGCTTTTGTCAAGTCAATCACTCTACAAATGGCCATTATTTACTGGTTTAAACTTTAGAGGACTTCCCACTCTTGCTGTTTCCTTTCCTTAAATATTTAACAGGATACTGCCCAGAATCAAATGGCATTAGGAATAACTCTGCTATTCATTCACACAAACTGCTTTTTTGTCTTCTGAAATATAATCCCTAATAGCCTGATAGCCCATGAGAAGTACTCTCCTACGACTATGACCTTGCCTGGGTGACTCCTCGTCTGACTCCACGTCAGCCAGCACTGGAACCTGGACAAATCACATTCTACTTTTACTAGAAAGTCATAATTGAGGGCTATTCCCTTCTGATTAAACAAGAACTCAGTCTAATAGCGACCGCTTTTCTGTTATCTCAGTCATCAGAAGAAAGGTGAAAGAGATCGTATGGAAATCTCTCTCAGCAAACAGGCCTCAATGCAAAAAAGGAAATTGCATGAATTTTCTTTATTCCACCTAACTCCGCATGGAAAAATGTTATCTGAAGTGTAACAAAGCTGTGCTGCTAAACAATATTTCGGAACACATACAAATAAATATCAAATCACGACAAGCATGGTTAGACTACTTAGATTGATGTTACCCTCCTCCTGAAAGCTGGCTCTGCCCCTACTTCTCTAAAGGCTCTTTGTTTCTAAGATTACAGATATGTCAGAAATATTCAGAGTAGATTCCAGCAATCAAACAAGCCTTTCACAGGAGGAAGCTAACAGGGTTCAGGCACCACAAGCTAAACCAAAAGGCTTTAGTAATTTTTAAATGCTTTTAAACTAAAGCTTAACTTATCTTTCCCTTAGTCATTATTTCTTCATATACCCAATTCTTCCGAAAAACACCCAAGAAGCATGAGCTTCTGCTTTCTTCAGCATTGTTATGCTTAGGCCCAGGTAAGAGCTGAACACGTGAAATCAGTCATTTGGTGAAGGAGAATTGCAACTATTGCCACCACCTCATGATTTTCACTTCACATTGCACTGACTGAATTTTGCTGATCTGATCACATAAGGCCAAAAATTAAGTCTAAAAAGTATTTGACTAATTAATATCATTGCAAGAGAACATACTCCTAGTTGTCTCAGGCAAAGTCTATATATACTTCCAATAGGAAAGCCTTGCTTTTTCAAGACTTTTTCCCCACAGCTAATAACCCATCTCCCAGCACTACATCTGAAATTAGCACACATGTACTTGGAGGCAAGACTGTGCATGACAAGGCCAAGATTCCTCGAAGCACCCTTCTATACTAAGCAACTGCAGTAAAGAGCTGCACAAGGAGGGCTATAACTCGCTCCAGTTTCTACATGCACAACTTCAGCTTCCACCACTTCTCAGAGTGAGGTTTAGCTTAAGAAGCCATGACTCCGAACCCCTCAGTGAACGTGAAATTTCATGATGCCCACATTCTCAAAGTAGTCTTCTTGCTTTGGGTACTTTTGATCTAAGTGAAGATTCTCAAGCTTTTTGCCAAATAAAATCACTTTTTCTTCAACTGTTACACTTGCAGTGGGACTAGTCATGTCAGGGAAGCCAGCAGAAAATGCAATTTGAGCAATGTTCAGAACAAGTAATAAGTTGCTACAACACAGCAACATTTAATGTTGCAGAAAACCTAGTTTGTTCTTTTCATAAGGCTAAATATTTTAAAATGCATTCTAGTTTACCTTGATGAAATACGATTAAGCTACAGAATTACTCTTAATCTACATAAGTAAAATCGCCAGAAGAATTTGACCCATTATTTGGCACCGTCATCCACTAAAAATCACCTAAACAAAAGAACCTTGAACATCAAATGAAAATAATAATCGTACAATTTCAGTTTAAGTCCGATTACCAAACAGGAATTTCAACACATAAGGGAGAGGGATTCTATCAAGTTCCGGTGATATTATACTATTATAATCAACTCACCTGGTGACTCACAGGGTTTTTTTTCCAGACACTTTTCACAAATATTTACTTTATCAGGGAGTGAGCAGGTAGCAGGAGAAAAGTTAAGAATTAAACACCACCTCAAAAAAATCAACAAAATTCTCTGTGCTTCCATTTGCATTTAGCTGGGCATAGGACACACTAGATAAAGATGGGGTGGCACAGTCTAGAAAAATCCACGTGGCACAAGGACAGGTCAAGCAGCATTAAACACATTCTCTAGTTAAACCAAGCTTTGAGGATGAATCCAGATATAATTTCAGAAGTTCTATTCTTGCTAGACAGTAAAGGCTAGAAAAACATGTGAAAATAAGTATCTGCCCAAAACAAAAGACTAATTTCAGAACAGAGTTTAAACTAGAATGGCTCTTCGTCTTGGGAGTTGGCTGCACAGTGGTACAAGAATTTAGTATGGAAACAGAATGCCTTGAGCAGAGCTTTACAAACCGAAACAGAGACAAGCTTGTACTGGAAGAATAACAGGGTCTTACACAGTGGAAGCATTCTTGCCTGAACTTTTTCCTGGCTTCTACCAGTGTAATTAGTTTCATAAGCTATTCTTAATGTCAAATGCTCTAGTTGTGCGTGTTTGCCATACAAACTACTCCAGTAATCAGAAGCTGATGCAAGATCTGGACATTCGGGCTTCCAAGTGTGACACATTACTCTAATGGCCAAATTGGCTATGGTTGTTGCAAGAAATGGACAAAACTGTTTTCCAACTCATTGCTAACAACACTGCAGGGATTAGCACTATGCAGTTCAGTTTCTCCATGCCTTCCTCGAGAACTAGTCAATTAATTAAATTTCCAGAGACCATGAGAGGATTTGGGGACATACAGAACAAGACTTATGTGTACCTTGGATCTTAGAGGCTAAGGACGTACCTGTCTCCATTTGGCGTCCACCAATCAGTCCGATTAGAAGAACTGTAAATCTTGCCCCTTAGCAGTTTAGTACTTTCATTCACCACATTTTACACCTCATGCAAATTGCAAAAGTGGGTGCAAAAGAGAGGAAATGCAGAGCTCTCCACTCATGGTGCTGGCAGACTGCTGCATTTGCTCTGCACTCACGCTGTCCCAGCAAGGCATCAGGTAGTAGCAGAATACTAGAGGGTGGCTCCGACTCATGCAAGTGAGCACTGGGCCTCCCCTTCTCAACTAAAGTGAGATTACAAATGCTTACAAATATCTGCAGGGTGGGGGTCAGGAGGATGGGGCCAAACTCTTTTCAGTGGTGCCCAGCGACAGGACAAGGGGCAACGGGCACAAACTGAAGCAGAGGAAGCTCCAGCTGAATATGACGAAGAACTTCTTCCCTCTGAGGGTGACGGAGCACTGGAACAGGCTGCCCAGGGTGGTGGTGGAGTCTCCTTCTCTGGAGGTATTCAAGACCCGCCTGGACAAGGTCCTCTGCGGCCTGCTGTAGGTGACCCTGCTGCGGCAGGGGGGGTGGGCCCGGAGACCCCCAAAGGGCCATGCCCAA